TGGTGCGGGATCGGGCAGTGTTTCGTTCTGCTGTGCATGGGGTCGCTATGAGTCGGAAACGACTCGACGGCACTTAACAACAACAACAACAACAGTCCCTATAATTGCATTAACAAATTCCTTGTAATATCACTCTCTTTACATACATACATAGTCTTGTTTGTCCTCAAGAACTATGACTAAAAAAAGGTTATCTTTATTTTTCTTCCCCTAGGTTTATTCCTGAAACTTCAACATCCTTGAAAAACATCGAAATGAGGAGTATACTTCCAAATGCATGAAAAAATTATTCTTTCCAATTTATTTCTCTTTGACAGATGGAGTATTTCAAATGGACATTGTAGAACCATAGAGCCTTTCAAGCACTGGTATTTCAGACTATGGTATGGGCTTCCTTTTCACACTATACAGAAAAATTAATTTAGTTTTTTGGAAAATTTCCTCAGAGAAGAAGTATACCAAAGTGCTAGAGTTGTGAAGAGAAAGCTGGCAATGTCAAACAATACCAGAGATTCTGCTAAATCACACAAATCAGAAAGAATGGACTAAGGATGCATACAATAGGATGGAAGACCTTCAATAACATTGTGCTGACCAAGAGAACTTAGACACAAAGGCCATATTCTTTTATAAGAAAAAAATTCTTTTATAAGAAATTACAGAAGAGAAACAACAAATTTGTAGTGACTAAAAAGATATCAGTGTGTTTCCATAGCCAATAGTGAATAGGAAATATCTAGGAAGTGGCAAATGGAACTACTTAAGATAATATATTCTTTCTGTGGTTACACAGATTTATATATCTGTCCAGATACCTTGGTTTGAAAATATTATATGCCATATATATTATATATACATTAATAAGACAATTGATTAAAATTGACACAAGCAGAATTTATTTACATTTTTAATATACAAATTGTTTAAACTATATGAAACATGTATATTTACATACATATATGTGTGTGTGTATATATATATATACATATATATATTGTTTAAAATGCATGAAAAGATCCCAAAACACAGTTTTAAATAAATTGTACTTTAAATGTGTCACTGTCATTTGTAGATCTGAGAGACTATAAACCAATTTAAGCAATTAGAACAAAAGCTTGAAGCTCGATTATTTCTACACAACAGAGCAACAGATAATGTTTGCAAATACCAGTTTCTGACCCATTATAATTATCCAGGTGGAACTTTTAAAAAAGATTCTCCATTTTTTTCCATTTTTTTACCTCTTGTTATAGTATCTTTGAGCCCTTTGTTTTCTTATTTATCTTTCAGGTTTCAGCATAAGAGATGTCCTTTGGGAGGGTTTTGCTTATCTTTAAAATTAAGAATATTTTCTTCTTTTTTATGATAGGATATATTTCTGGGCAAATATGAAATTTAAAATTCTGGATTTAAGAGATCAATTTATTATTAAACAGTAGGAAGACTTACTCAGAAGAAGAACATAGAGGGTAAAGAAGGAGTGATAGAAAACATAATATGATAAAATTGCTGAGAAGAGAAATGATGCAGATCTGAACTAATGTAATTAAAATTTGAATACATTCTTTTTTCATTCAATAACATGTTATTTATGTTAAAATTTTCTCTCCTTTTGAAAATAAAGAACTCTTTGAAGCATGTCTTTGATGGCTTCTTTCACCTGCTGGTTCCTTAAGGTATAAATGAAGGGATTTAATAAAGGGGCAACAGAAGTATTGAGCACAGCTACTCCTTTAGACAAGGTTACCCTTTCTTTTGCTGATGGTTTCATGTACATAAAGATACAGCTCCCATAAGTGATGGAGACAACAACCATGTGTGAGGAACAAGTGGAAAAGGCCTTTGTTCTTTGCTGAGCAGAAGGGAATTTTAGAATAGTTTTGATGATGTACGTATAGGAGAGGACCACTAACAACAATGTGACTAGGAGTGTCACCACAGCTAAGATGAAGGCCATCAATTCTATTAATTCAGTGTCCGTGCAAGAGATCTGCAGGATAGGAGAAGAGTCACATAGGAAATGATCAATAGTTTTGGAAGCACAGAAATCGAGCTTGAGTCCCAAAACCAAAGGAGGAAAGATGGTTAGGAATCCAGTTACCCAAGAGCTGAGTACAAGCAGATAGCACACTCGGCTGCTCATAATAATGGGGTAATGCAGAGGTTTGCAGATGGCAACATAGCGGTCATAGGACATGGCAGCCAGAAGGTAAAACTCTGTAATTCCTAACAAAAGAAAAAAGAATAATTGAGTTGCACAACTATTATAGGAAATTGTTTTGTCTCCAGTCAGAATGGTAGTCAAAAACTTTGGAATGCAGACTGTTGTGAATGAAATTTCTAGAAAGGAGAAATTTCGAAGGAAGAAATACATTGGGGTCTTCAGGCGAGGATCCAGTAGGGTAAGGAAGATAATGATTAAATTCCCCATCAGGCTGAAAATATAGTTGAGAAAGAGAAACTGAAAAATCACAATTTTCAGCCAAGGATCATTAGTCAGTCCAAGAAGAATGAACTCTATTCCCATTGTTTGGTTCTTCATTTCTCTTTTATCCTACCAAATCTAAAGAAAATAAAAGGCAATATCACAAGTAAGAAGATGTGCATTTTTTATTTACATTCAGAGAAAGTAGCATATTAGAAAATTACCACGTACAAATATATTAAAAAATCAATTTGTTAGAGTTCAGGAAAATGAACACGCCCTCCGGTTCATCATCTTTGTAAGAGTGGGCAAAGATTCTTCCTTCGTCCAAATTTGAGTAAGTCCTACTTATCATCTAATAGGGGACTTATCAGTCATTTAAGGAGCCTTAGTGGTTCAGTGGTCATAGTTCTTGGCTGCTACTGGGAAGATCTGAAGCTTGAATTCAGCAATCACCTTGGAAACCCTTTTAATTCGAATTGACATGATAGCAGTGTGTTTGGTTTCACTCATTGGAATTTTTACCTCTATAATCAGTAAATTTTTATTTTTCTCTATTTTTGAATATATGTAATATCTCTGTTAATTTGTTAATTCTGTTTATCCTGTTGGTCCATTCTGTATTTCCTTTTTCTACTTTTTTGGTGTCACTTTCCTTCAGTTATTACAACAAAACCTGTTTGCTTATTCATATACTTTATCAATGACTTTTAAATTCAACACAGAAAATATCCTAGGAAATCATTACAAATGCCTCAGGTCTGTATGAGTCAGGAAATGTAGCAAAGGAATAAAAAATTAAAACAGATATTTGTACATTTCCCATTCCTTTTTACTTTTTCATTTATGATGGATTCGTATTACTTTCTTTTCCTTTCTTTATGGTTATGTAAGTTACATTAAGAAGTAACATTTTTAATTTGCACGTAAAATTATTTTAAGCACTCATTGCTATCCTTGTCACTGATCATTGCTGCAGGAACACTCTACAGCTATTAATTAGAAGTTATTTTTTGTTAATAAGTCGCTTTGCCCTTCAGCAAGCTTCTTGGACTTACTTAATTTTCAGAATTACCAAAATATAATAAAACCTTTCTTTTATATTTTTCCCCTGTTCTGTTTTTGTGTACATGCTATAGTAGAAAAAAATCAAATGCTGCATAAATGAATTTTCATTTTTTCTTTATTAAACTGTTCAAATATATTCTTCTACTTTGCCAGTTAAATGAAATTATCCTTTTATTTGCTCATATTCTTTTTATAACTACTGAATCCTTAGAATCTCTGTCTGAAATGTATGTGATTGCTTTCCACCAGTCTGAGCATCTGAGATCACATGTTGGTTCTTCCATTCAAACAAAACTATTTCTATTTCATTACTCCCTGATTTTTTTTGTTGTTGTTGTTGTTGCTGTTGTTAATAAATCTTCTATCATAATAAAAATAAATCTATGTTCTTTTGTTGATTCGAACATGATGATGTTGTGAACTAAATATAACTAGTAAAGATGTTGTTTCTTTATCTTTTCATTGTTTTTTGTTAATCACAATCTTTCAAGTTTTGCTAAGCAAGCAATTAATTGTTTTTAACTTTGAACTAGGTATGAAGGTGTTTGTTAAAAAGCAGAAAAAGCAAATAGTTACGAATATTAATATTTTGCATAAGTGAAGTCATGCATTGCTGTGGTCATAGAATTTTATTAGGTAATTATACAACATGTACATCTGAGCTTGTCATGCCAGGGCTCCAGATGCTAATCAATTTATGGTTTTAAAGAAAGCTTCTACACATCAACCAATGATCTTTTGCTAGCCACTTGTGCCTAAATGAGACTTTGGATTAAATTTTTTCAAACCAGAATTTTTCCTCCATAGTGCATCTTCGGTAACTCTTAGTTCATAGGTAGGTAAGGTCACAGACTCATTGTAAATTAGAATTCCATGGTATTATTTTTTTATATATACTTTCCTGGTGGCATAATGCCTATGACATTTGACTGCTAAGTAAAAGGTTGGTAGTTCAAACCCACAGCCACTCTGGAAGGATGCCTGGGCAATCTACTTCCAGAAAGATTTACTCCCTCGGAAATCTAAAGGGGATCCCTATGACTCGGAGTGGACTTGACAGTAATGAGTTTTTTAGTTTGGTATGGTAAAATTACACAGAAGTTTTTAAGTCTGCATGAAAAGGAAAAGATTAAATAGGACCACTGAAGACCAAATTTAATTCCTTGACTTGGACTTCCAAAGTTTTTAAATTTCTAATAAAGAAAAGTATTGACTTACCTTAAACAACATATATTGAGATGTATATTTTTGCTGTGGTACATGGTAGAATATACAGGTGAGTTAAGCATGATTATAATGTTAAATACATGTGTTCAATTATTAAAAGATAAATTAAATCCAATGTTTTATTCAGTAGAATTGAAATAAAAGATTACATGTGAGTATTAAATGTTTCAAAAGATTTCACACACAGTCATGCACATCTCAGGATTCAATTAAAGAATGCTATCATTCTTCGCAGTTTTGTTAAATCTTTTGCATGTTTTCTTTAATCCTTAAATAAAAGCATTACATCAAAGATCAAAATCTATAAAAATCTATCTTTAAGAACAGAAATTTAATATATACTGTGATTCTAGCTAAGTGACAGTTTTATCTTTTACTCAATAAAGACACAAGGGGAATGATTAAAACTACCAAAAAAAAAAAAAAAAAAAAAACAAGAACCAGAAA